AAAGGCGTCCTTGCATTTCAAAAATATTTGATTAATACCAAGGAGCAGATTTCAAACAATTCACTCATTTTCAGTCTATAAGTATAGCCCCTCCTCCATATGGTACCCCTGACCCTGAGGCCATGAAATTCACAATTCTTGAAGATTAAGGCCCTTGTTCAAAACTATATAGGTAGTTCATCTGCTTAATACCCAGGAGCAGAGAAGAAAATCTTTGAAGTTTTCATGTATTTTCACTATATAATCAATAGAGCCCCCCCCTACCACCTCACCCCCAACACCAGACCCCTGAACCTTGGGCAATAAAATTAACAATTTTGGTAGAGGCACTCATGCTCATCATAACTATGCACTTAGTTAGTTTATTTAATACCTAGGTGCAGAGGAGAAGATTTTCAAAAATTTCATGTATTTTCACTATATAATCAATAGAGCTCCCCCCCCCAACACCATAAACCCTAACCCTGGGGCCCAAAAATTCACAATTTTGATAGGGGCACTCTTGCTCATCATAAATATGCACTTAGTCTATTTGATACCCAGGATCAGAGAAGAATTTTTTTTAAGAGAATTCATGTATTTTCACTAAATAATCAAAAGAGCCTCCCCCAACACCAGACAACGTCTAATCCAGGGGACCTGAAATTCAAAATTTTGGTAGAGGCACTCTTGCATCATAACTATGCGCTTAGTTTATTTAAAACCTAGAAGCAGAGAAGAAGATTTTCAAAGAATTCATGCATTACACTATATAAATCAATAAAGCCGCCCCCCTAGCACCAGAACCCCTGACCCTGGGGCCTTGAAATTTTGGTTGAGGCACTCTTGCTCATTATAGCTATGCACTTAGTTAGTTTAATTAATATCCAGGAGCAGAGAAGAAGATTTTCAAAGAAATAATGCATTTTCACTATAATATCAATAGAGCCCCGTCCTAACACCAGAACCCCTGACCCTGGGGCCATAAAATTCACAATTTTGGTAGAGGTACTCTTGTTCATCATAACTATTTACTTAGTTGGTTTATTTAATACCCAGGAGCAGAGAAGAAGATTTTCAAAGAAATAATGCATTTTCACTATATACCTATTTAGCCCCACCCTAGCACTAGAACCCTTGACCCCAAGCCCATTAATTTCACAATTTTGGTAGACAACTCAATGCTGATTACAATCATGCAAATAGTTTGACTTCTTGATGTCCAGGAGTAAAGAAGAATATTTTTAAAGATTGGGATCCACAGCCAAACTCTTAAATTAATAATTATGTTAATATTTTGTGTAGATGTATTTTGACTCAAAAGAGGGACTGGAGTGTTTTCCGTCTGCTCCTATAATTCGCGACTGCTTTTCTTATTGTAACGAGAATAGAAATATAGTTAACTTTTGTAGTAAAAAAAAAGAGCATACTACCAGTCAACAGGGAATGTTAACCCCTTCATTCCACCTGATCCCACCTCTTATGTTTTGGTGGTTCGTATTTATTTTGATTGTTCAATGGAATTTTGAGCTTGAACATTGTTCGTTATCTGCGTATGTTTCACATTGAAAAAAAAAATATTGATATAAACTTCGACTGCTGGAACATGTAAAAAATACACACTGTTTGTATGAAAAGCCGCGTGACATATATGCATATATATAAATATAGTCAGGAAGTCAAAACAGTTTATGACTAAAAAATGAGAAAAATTATTTTAAAAAAAAATTGGCGTGAAATGCTCCGAATTGAGATAAAATTGTAACATTTAATAATTTTTCTTTTTTTGCATATAATCAATTTTGTCCACAAATTCGATATTTCAGCAATAACAATTACATAATGTATATGCAACATCTAGCCAATCATTTTGGTTTACATACTCTATACGTCAGAAATAGTAATTTATATAAAAAAAATATATAATTATTAATCAGTCTTATGCATGTGGTATTTAAATGAATGCCGATCTTTAAGCTGGAAACTATATTTTACAATTGATTAGAGACCTTGTTATATGTAGTTTGTGCTATACGCCTGTTGCAATATGTGCAGATATTGGTTGAAGGTTTGGGCGGTTTTCCTTTTTACGATGCCTCATGCTTTTGATTTTTATCGAAGATACAAGTCATAGCCGAATTCAAATTTAAGGACAAAAAGTCAAATAGCGAACTTATAGGGGAATATAAAAGTACATCGCTTATCGAATGTTCTTGGTATTGTAAGCACGATTGTGGATTATTTGGACACAATGAAGAAATTAGGAAATGTCGTACTCATCGGAGAATCTACACGTCAGACATTTTTGATGAGAAGGGATGGAGATATTATTCTGATGAAAGTATGTATAAGAGTTTCTGTTTAGTTTCTTCCTTTTTCACTAAATATGCAAGGCAACACCGTTAATAGAGCATATTTATTCGGCACATATTTGCAAGGCAACACCGTTTTAATAGGGCATATTTATTCGGTCTTTCATTATGACAGCTTGACGAGGTTTTTTCTGTTTTGTTACTCTCTGGCAGTTTGCCAAAACAGTACACGTGTAAAGGTAATGAAAAGTTTTTGAGCATCTATATAATCCCCCTGACCTTATTAATGTGAACCAATGACCAGAATCCCTCACCCTCAAGTCGACTGTTGAGCTATGAATGTTTAAATCCGCTGAATTGTACGCCAATATCTCACGTCTCCTATTTTTGATTGATTAATTGATCATTTGTTAGTTTTTTTTCTGCCCAACCGAGAACAATCCACAAATACTGTAAACGTGGAAATTTTGACGATGTGCCAGTTTTGACTATATTGACGATTTTTCTTTTCTCGTCAAAATTAACACTCGTCAAACTCCATATCATATATATAGCGCGTCACAACAGACATTGACATAACCGCTTAATTTTCTCGGGTTTCCCCTATTAAAACTAGATCTAAGTAAATGTTAAATTCCTTTTTAATTAGTTATGAAAACACAGTGATATATAATCACATTTTTAAAAACCATTGAATTTAAACTAGTGTATCAAATACTGCATGCGCAACTTACAGTAATTATCACGCTTGACCTAGTTTGTCACCCCAGGTAACCCCGTGGAGAAGGTTTGAATAGGTCCTCAGTACCCCCTTGCTTGTCGTAAAAGGCGACTAAATGGGGCGGTCCTTCGGATGAGACCGTATAAACCGAGATCCCGTGTCACAGCAGGTGTGGCATGATAAAGATCCCTCCCTGCTCAAAGGCCGTAAGTGCCGAGCATAGGCCTAAATTTGCAGCCCTTTACCGGCAATGGTGACGTCTCCATATCAGTGAAATATTCTGGAGAGCGACGGTAAACAGTATTCAATCAATCAATCTAATAAAGCTGTGGCCTTAGGTGCTGTCAAAAGACGGGATTGTTTTTGACTTGTGATCTTGAATTTTAACAGGTGCGCACATATTGCTTCATCAACAGAAATTTAAATATATTTAATTTGAAATTTATAAAAAAAATAAAAGAATTGTTTTGATTATGTCCATTTGTTATTTAAAATTCAGATTTTTATCTTCATTCATAGAATCTTATTCAAATTTTTCATATGTTATGGTGTTTGATGATAAATAGCATGTGATCGTTGGTTACATGAGTTTTCACAAACCTGATTACACAATTTACAAAATAAAACCAAAACAATTCTGTTTGGTGGAACGATGTAGACTCAATATAATCACAAGTAATAAATAAAACCCCCACTTTTTAAGCACCGTAGGCCATGGGGTAATAAGGAGGGTAGCGTATCAGAAACCCTAGACCATCACATATTTTTTTTTTTATTCTGAAGGATAATTATTTAGTGTATAATCTAATTCAATAAATGATAATTTTTAAATCGATAGATTTTTGTATTATCAAACTAAAAAATAATTTCAACAGTACGCAAAAAAATCTTTATTTGCGTATTTTTCACAATTAATACAATTTTCAGTAAAATTTGAATAATCCGGAACATGGAATTTCATAGAAATTTAAAGGTTAAGACAAGATAAGATAGCATTCCAAATTAAAATATGTTTAAAATTTAATTGAAAAAAAATTCAAGTTCAAGTCGTTAATGTCATCATTTTATTATATCCGGATTAAGCAATTTTGATTTCATAAGTGTACATGTAATATATGATATAATTGTAGACTATCAAAATACAAACAAGGAAAAGATACGGTAAATTTTTAATTTTGTCCAGTATTTGATATCGAAAGATGATGAAGAAATGCGATTTTACATTATTTTTTTTAGTCTGAAAATAAAAGGCATAATCAATTGCACTTTGAAGAATAGCGCGATAGTAAGACTCTCAAAAATAAGAAATCTACAGTATATGGCAATATTTTAAGTACAATTAAAAGCTCTTTTTTGGCAATGGTTAGTAAATTGACAGTTTGAAAAACTTTTTGAAAAAAATTTAAAAAAAAGAAAACAAAAGAAAGCATAAAACATGCCTAGCTAGCCTAACTGATAATTGAACATTTATATTTTTTTAAGATTTGAAATTGTCATTGCAGTTTGTCGAATAACAGGTTAACAGATGCTTCACACTTGATAAGTACTAGGTTGTAAGATATTATATCTTATTGGGTCTCTAATGAATGTCAAAAAATATTTTTCCATTGATTAAACAAACATTGTGGTTTATGATATAATGATATACACATTAGATAGACATAAAAAGTGTAATTAAAAAAAAATCACACAAAAACTTTAATTTTATTTGTAAGCAATTCAAAGTCCTCAAAATTTCTCCTAGTTTTGATCGTGGGTGTAGACACCGACAAATTGTACTTCACTGTACGGTGGCTCGTACAGAACCATCCAGAGAAATCCTTCATCAGTTGGAATCTAACAATATAATGTAATTATGTAAAATTTAAAAAAAATCATAAATTGCGAATAACTTGTTTAGTTTGAAGTTTATCACTGGGAACACATTAAGTTCTGACTTCGGAAAATATATTTTTAAACTTTAAAACTGAAAATATACTTGCCTTCACTGAATAGTTGACTCCGTCAACAACTTGTGTTTGATAAGTCACAGCTTTGAATGTTTCAAAGACTGTGTTCCGTTCCTTTTCAGCCTTGGTTTTGAACTACAACAGGCAACGAAGAAGTATGAAACATAAATTATTTCATTTTTTTTATTCTTCAAGAGTCAAAACTTTTTAGAGTTACCTTATCTATCATCTTCTGTATATCCCGATCAGCTGGACGTGAAGGATACCAACCGCCAGGCATGGACTAGTTTAACGAGAAAAAATGTACATATTAAAATAGATACTGCATTTATTGTGTTTTCCTTCTTTCGAAATAGTAATGAACTTGGGCAATTATTTCATTCCTCATAAAGACACTGAATTACATTCAAGGTCAAATTTCAATTTAAAAAACCATAATATCTTCAATATGGGTTATAAATCCTGTACATGACTGTACAAATTGTAACAACTGTAGATTGGATCTTTATGCATGTTAAAAACCTAAGAATAATATAATATAATAATAAAAATATTTTCATCACAACATGTATTGGTAACGATCCTCTAAAAACTAATGTCCAAATAACTGTATCTCACTTCCATTCTCAATGGCCGTGTAGTGTAGGGCAGCGTTGTGAGAATTCCATCGGCATCGAAAGCAAGTTTTTAACTTGCCTAGATAGCCGAGCGGTCTAACGCGCTGTTCCTGCACTGCTAGGAGACAGATTCCGCAGGTCGAGAGTTCAACCCCGGGCTGGGGCGGAAGTGAGTATCCTTGTAAAAGTGAATTTCTCTGTGCTTTCTATATTAATATTCCTTCACTTAGGGCAGTTATATTAGTTTAAGAGTTTTTGTAATTTGTGCTTTATATATATATATATATATATATATATATATATATATATAGAGAGAGAGAGAGAGAGAGAGAGAGACTTAGAACAAAACCTCAGCCAATAAAATTTAATTGATTCAAAAAATTTCCTCTCACGCCTGTTATATATAATATTATCATCTATTTTATGCATATAAAATCAGATGACTTTATTTTACGGGAAAAGGTATTAATTTTTTGGTCGGGATCGGCCTGCGGCCTTGGGTATATATAAGTCGGAAAGCTCGGGATCAATACTGTAAATGTATTATATTTAGCGTGTACGATATTTGGCGGTAAATGACTTCTGAATAAGTTAGCGTTGTTTTGATTTAGCGCATTTCTTCATATTCTTATTTATGTGTTTACTTTCAAGACATTTAGCTATGTACTTGATTTAGCGGTAGCTTCGATCCGCCAAAGCCGCTAAAAAGAATACACAGCCAAATGTAATACGTTTACAGTATTCTTTTCATCAACTTGCTGGATACAGAGTAGGTTGAATATTTCTCTGTCAAGTTTTTTTATAATATTTGTAAGAAATTTTTTGCATCTGCCTTTAATATCCCACCCACCCATTCCCCATAATTTGGATTTTAAATGATTGCATATTTGGTTCTTGGTGCTGGCTTTTTCTTTGTATTTTACAGAATCTGTTGCACTGGATGTCGTCTTCGTGAAATATGTCGTGGCATAACCTGTACAGGAGTGGCGTTTGCGCACACCAAAGCAACTGAGGCCTACATAAACTTTGTATTGTTGTGAAGTTTTCACCATTGAACTGTGAAGGGGGTTGAAGTGTTGAACCATTTTATATGTAAAATATTTGCTGATATGTTGATATAATTTGTTTTGTGCTTGAATTGTGTATATAACTAATTACACTTAAATAAGTAACCTTAAATAAGTAACCACCCGCGGTTTATCCGGGGTGGTCATTTTTGCACATATGACTTGTTTGTGTTGATGAATGTTGTTGAATTTGTGTGGGTTTGCCCAAAAGTTGTGTGTATTAATTGGCATCCCACAAATTACTATGCCACGGCCAATGTTCGCCAAAATAAAGGTTAAAACAAACATTTTGTTGTCATTTCCCTGTATAAATAATATGCTCAACTTCACCGTTCGTTGCACATATCGAGCACGCAATTAATATCGAGCACACGCGGTTCCAGAATGGACTCCAACCCATTGAGGTTAGCACGGGATTGTATGAAATAACTTGATTCAGGCACGTAGCAACGGGGGGGGGGAACTAATTCTAAACATAATTTTTGCTATCGCAAATGTTCATTAAAAGGGAGGTTGTCCCCTTTTTCTTACAGTATATGAATATGAAGGTAATGTAGTATTGTACGAAAATGGCAGTCGAAGAACTTATGATTGAAAAGTAGTTGTCCACAAACTACTCCCCCCCCCCCCCCCAAAAAAAAATATATATATATATATATATATATATATATATATATATATATATATATATATATATATATATATATATATATATATATATAAAGCAAGTGAATTAATGAATATCTTTCTAACAAGAATCGTACCTATATTTTTGAAAAATGATTTTGTTTAGATGACAAGGCCCTAGTCAGCAGAAGTGGGTTTCGCTGTCTAAGGTCAAATAAAAATTTGATGAAAATTGTGACTTAAATATGTCTTCAAAGACAAAGTTCGTATCTGATATATATGACGATGGTTGTATTTTCTGTATGTAACGAAATTTTAAAAAAAATTATATTCAGAAAGGCGACAAAAGATTAAAATGGAAAAAAAGTGTAACAGGCCTAAAAAGTTCAAAGATCATTGTAAACAACATGTGGGTTTTAAATATTTCTTTTTATGTGCTGAACAAAAACCAATGAAGACACGCCTATATATATCTGTGAAGTGAACCAATCAGACACCGTTAAATATTTCAGAGAGAAGAAATAGAAGAAATCTTCAACACAAAGAATCAATTCTTCGCGAGAAATGGAAGCATTTGATCGGCTGAATACGTAGGTTATGTTCTAAATCCATTAAAAAATTCAACCAGTACATTATGCAAGGAAAGGGTTTTAATTTTCTTTATAAATACGGTTTGTATATTTACATTCAACTCGAATTTTTACGTTCAATTATTTGAAATTTACAAAGATGAATATTTACATGTAAAATCAATTGTTAAATTCATCTGCAATATGTATAAAAATGTTATGAAGTTTCAAATATTTTTTTTATCTTCAAAATTCTTATTCAAGAATTTATGACAATGCAACTTGACTTATTTTTGCCTTCGATATCTACATGTATGATAACACAGATGGACGTATTTGTAATTCTTTAAAAAAGATATCACTGTCAGGAGACAATGCAAATGTTATTTAATACTAATAATAATGACTCTTGACAGAATATTTAAGCTTAAGCTGACAGATAAATTTATATCAAAAAATATTATAGCCTGTTATACACTGAGAGCATACGTGTATTGAATACATTATTTCACTGAAATATTTCTAGGTCGAAGTTTTGGTAAAATTTAATCAAATAATCAAATTATACACATTAACGTTTAAAACGTTTAAATTGTCCTTAAAAATTTTTCGAAATTGAATTGAATTACATGTGCATTGCCCCCCCCCCCCCAAAAAAAAAAAAAAGCTATAATATATTTATTTGAAAATAGGTTAAGATTACTGACGTAAATAAGTAAATTCCAAACATTAAAAGAAACTTCTTAACTTTCATATCAACAGATTATTTTGCATGTAGAAATAATTTTCATGCATAATAACAGGTCTATTAGGCAATCCATGTTAAAATGATTTATCTTGCGTGTACTTTGCTGGGGGGGGGGGGGGTATTTCATAATAAAATATGTAATTTTTGTGTATATTTCAAAATTCTTAATACTGAAGTAATTTATACTTTTTCCTCTTCGTCCCAAGGAAATGGATCCTTCATTGACAGTGACCTCAGGGCAATACCCACTGGCTTTCCATTACATCCACTTCGTTCATAGGGTATGCAAATGATCGGATGGAAGTGATGAATGATGACCTATTGATTGAAAATAAGTAACATGTAGTGATAAAATCTACTCTATGACAAAAAAAAATGTGTCAGCAAGGGAAGATTTATTTATGCTCTAGAATAGCGAAGTAAGGAGTTGATCTTTACTTCGCCTTTCATATCCCACTTTGAGACGTGTAGACCGGTGTAAAGACAAATAATGACCCCCATCGAATAACGACCGGGGGTCATTTTTCGCTGTCGAAAAAGACCTTCGGTTATTACTGGACGTTGAAAAATGAACTTTTGTCCGTAGAAAAAGTGTCACCACCCTAAATATTTGCAGAACCCAAGTGAAGAAAAATGACTCCCTGTGGATTAAAACTGAAATTTTTAGCGGGCAAAAAGTTAGATAGAGAAGCATATTGGCCAAAATGCTTACCTGAGCTATTGGGAATAAATTGATGATATGTTGATCTTATAACATTATACAATTATAACTTTATTCTAAGGTCAATGCGATGATTCAGAATCTAAAGGAGTAAAGGATTTATGGAGCCTAAAGGGTTAGGTAAACATTGTTTTTTCGATGGTGGAAATCATCGTACTTACAGAAAAAATCAGCAGCATTATATATTATTATATCGTCCGCTTGAAAAGCGGGATGGTATATAGTGATCGGGATGTCCGTCCTTCCGTCTTGTACGCTTTGGGGTATTCATCTCTTATCTGCAACTCCTCTTATATATAAAAATGTGTGTTTGTGAAACAGTTATGCCCCTGTGTGGCAACATAGCGAAGATTTTACTTTTCTTAAGGTCTTCAATCCTTATAGGAACAAATTCAATGAAATTGAAAACATAACAGTGTGTAAGCATCGAATACTCAGTTTATTTAGACATACTTCCCATTTATTACTATAAATATGTATAGTGGGATGTGACCTGACTAATGACCTTGGATTTTGCTAAGAGTTATCTCCCTTTTTTCAATTAATTAAAAAATCAATTAAATAAGTCTAGCCGGTAAAAAATGTTTTCAATTGTCATTTTATTTTCAATGTTTCAATGCTTCTTCCACCGCAGGATTTATTGATATTCAAATTATTTGAATTTTTATTTTGAAAAAAAAAGGCTTTTCCTCATAGACTTCAATGCAAACTTTGTAAATTAACTACTGCTTAATTAATAAAATTTTAGAAAATTTTTCGCGGCCAATTCTTTTTCATTATAAAATGCTTTAATGTGATATCAGAGTAATATGTACTTGACGGACATTTAAGGGTAGATAATTTGGCTCATTAGGGATGGAAATCCTTAAATACATATTAAATATATTGGTACCAAACGTATGGTCTTCTCACAAGAAATACAATTGCAAAATAGGAACGCCCTAGCACCACTTGTTTGGCTAATGGCTAAGGATACGTTTTTGAAAGGTAGGTCAAATTCAAAGGACAAAGGTCAAAAGTTTATGGTTTCTTAAGAAAGATTTACTGTAACAAGGATTACATATGTGAAATATGAAAACCAAAGTATGAAAACACTAGCCCTTATACCCTTCCAAAGTTTTTTCATAAGTACGGAAATCTCCAAGGTCTAGGTCAAAAGGTCAAAGTTTTTAGTATCCAATAAAAGGTCATGCTAAAATAAAATACATATGTGAAGTTTGAGAGTACTAGTTACTACCGTTTAAAAGTTATGGCCTAAACAAAAATTTGGTATTTTTGTGTAAAATGGGACAAATTCCAAGGTAAAGGTCAAAAGGTCAAATTTGGTGGTATCCAAAGTAAGGTCTTGTCACAAGGAATACACATATTAAATATGAAAGTCTTAGCTCCAATACATGAAAAGTTATGATCAAGGTTAAAGATTATTCCCTATCCATTTTTTTCAGAATGCATTTTTTTTTTAAATTACTAATTTGAAAATGAAACTCATTTAGTCACCCAATCTTTTTAAAAAAAACACTATAGTAAAAACATCTCTCATTCTTGACTGGAAAAGATGCACACAACATTCAGGAACATAGAATCAGAGGATGGGCTGGGTGTTTTCCCCTTTCCAAATTAATGAATTTAAATTTCTAGTTTCTCACTTGAAAATGTTCATTTCAAGTCTGGTTGTTCTACCAAGGGCGGGGGGGGTGTAAAAAGAATATGTTTTTGCCAAGATTTTAAATATCTTAATCATATAGTGTTAGTCTGCATGTATAGGATGGAACATATGAAAAATATATAGTATCGAGGCGTCCTGTATTCCTTTCTTTTTTATTCACTCATCCGAATGATGAAACCTTATTAATTTGAACAAATTACTTATTTGTACGCACCGATATTAATTCTTCTGTTTCAAATTTTTAATTTTCCCCAACAAATATATTTTTTTCTGACACAAAGTATCAGTGGAGTCACTGGAGAAAAAAATATTAATAAATTCATTCGCCAGCATGCATTTGATCCATTTACATTTCTAGGTTTGCTCCTTTATGAGATTGTTAATTGCTTAAAATCTGATTTATCAATATTTCGGCAGAGAGAAATTGGGAATTTCATTATCCCTACGTGCTAAGAAGAACAAAGATCAAATCTATTCGAACAAATGCATGAATTATACTCGAAGGAAGAACATTTCTAATATACATCATATTTTTCCCTTTCACCTATTATTTTTGTATCACTTTAAAGGGGGGCATTTGTCAATGGCGGTCAATATTTTAAAGGACTAACATATCAAATGATGACCCCTATCACTCTTTTTCTACAAAAAATGATTTTTTCTACGGGTGGGGGTCATTTTTGTCGTTGAAAAATGAACCCCCGGTCATTATTTGATGGGGTCATTATTCGTCTTTACACCGGTCAGTCGGATAAGATCGTATAACACGAGATTCCGTGCCAAGGACAAAATTTGCAACTTTCCATCGACAACTGGTGAAGTGGCGTAGAATCGTTTTTGAAAGTGGGGGGGGGGGGGGCAGCCAGAGAATTTTTTTTTTACTTACCTGAAAAAGTTGACAAGCAAAAAAAAAAAAAAAAAAAAAATTTTAAAGTTGCCAAAGTCCAAAATAGTACCAATTTCTATATAACATTTTCGGTACATCACTGAAAGTCTACAAGTGGGGGGGGGGGCAACCAGGCTTCTTATAGTATAACTAAGGTTGGGAAAAAAAGTGGGGGGGCCAAGCCCCCCTGCCCCCCCCCCCCCCCCCGGTTGCTACGCCCCTGTGTTGGCGTCTCCATATGAGTGAGGTTCAACGATATACAGCCAGTCCATTATTCATTGCTTTTAAAGATCGGGAGCCAATACGAAATAAATGGAAATCTGAAAAGGAACCCTGATTGATTGATTAATGTCCCTCTAGAGATTTTTTCTTTCATATGGAGACGCCACTTCAGGTTGAAAGCTTCAATTTTATTCTTATACTTTGCACTCGATTCGATCAGTATGTATAATTTTTTTTTAACTTTCAAAGGATGTGCTACTGGCTAGTTGTACTTATATGAATGCATAGCAACTCAACATCGAATATTCTATTATGATGTCCTTCATAATGAAACATATTGTAAATGCCATGCAATTAAATAGCTAAATACATCAGAAAATATTGCGATAGCAGATATAATACTTGTGCAGTGAGAATTTTTAATAATACTTGCAATATTTTATATGCATTTGAGCAATTTTATCAAATGCTGTTTGTTGCCACTTAGTTTGTGTGTTCATTGTTATATATAAGTCATCAATAATTAAATATCTAAACAAAAAAAATATATTCTCTCAGATTTTATATAATCATATTATCAGAAGTTTGAATAAATTTCAAAATGAGTTATCTGGCATACATAACGTTTAAGTACCTTGATTATGTAGAAAATTTCCTCTTCAATCGTCACCCTAACTTTGCGAACTTTTACTGGCTCAAACACAATAAATGTTTCACCAAGTATTTTTTCGGCTTTTGTTTTGTCCTAAAAAGTAAATATTACAATTGTGAGTAATAATTTGTTAAACTTACAACATATGTTAAAACACTTGGATATAAACATACGTATCGATAACGATACTTTTATAAATCTAATGTTCACATAATTGTCAAAATAACTGTATTTTTATGCGCCCAAATTTATTTGGGGCGTATATTGTTTTTTGTTCTGTCTGTCTGCTTATCTGTTTGTCTGCCTGGTTGTCTGTCTGTTGTCAACGTTAACCTTCGCCATAACATTTGAACCGTGAGAGATAGAGACTTCATATTTGGTATGCTTACTCAACTTAATAAGCACTTTCAACTGAAACCAAGGTCAATGACATTGTGACCTCGACTGTGACCTGTATGTGAAAAACCTTAAACTTTCGCCATAATGTTTTTACTATAGGAGATAGAGACTTCATATTTCTTATGTTTGTGACCTTCACTGTGACCTATTTGCGAAAAATAGCTTTTTCGAACTTTCGCCATCACATTTGATCAATAGGAGATAGAGGCTTTATATTAGGTTTGCGTACTCCACTAATTATGTGCATAAATGATATCAAAATAACTTTAAACTTAACAAAGTTAACATATTCAAATATTTGATATAGGTTGCGAAAAGGTCGTTGAAATAATTTTGCTATTAGGTCACTTGATGATTGAGTAATAGTAGCTTAATGAAGTTTAGACATTAAGTACCAAGCTGATCTTTTGTCTTATGTTATCTTCTCTTTATTATGGAAAGTTACGCTTTTTTTTTGGGAAAATTGGTGTACGATTTACGACATTGTCATATTTAGTTAGCGATAATAAATTCGTTCCATTATGTAAATAGTACTTCACCAGAGTACACCCGATAGACCGGACAAACTTATTCGAAACTTCAAATAAAACAAGTAACACTCTAAATGTCTGCAGTGTTCAATAGTTTAATAGTAGTTCTAATTGTTTACCCCACCCCCTTTTATGACTTCTTGGTTTTCTTTTGTCGTTATAAATGGGACAGGGCGTCTAAAAAATTGACAATTGTTAGGTCACCTGAGTTTACACAGGTGACCTATTGCTATATGTTGCTATCTGTTTTCGTCCGTCGTCATACGTCGTCCGCCGTGCGTTAACACTTGAACATTTTCAGCTTATTCTCTGCAACCACTCAACTACTAGGGGACTTAGTTGATTGAAGTAATAACGTACTTAATACGTACTTAGTTACATAGTTTGATATATTGATAGAATATAAATATTTTTCATGATGGAACTTTTATAAAGCATTGTTACGTGTAGTAAATTGCCTTGGATAATATGGCTAAAACGAATCATTTTTTTTAGTCCCTGTTTCATCTACCTGGTAGTTTATCGTGTGTTATATTAATATGAAATACTGAAAAGGTAAAGGAATATTTGCAAGTCAAAATCAATGTTTGCTAAATGAAAATGTTATAGTATTTTTCTACATGTAAGTATCTAATGAAGTTTCCTTGTTTCATTTAAGTACTCTTTATGATATATTATGACTTATTAGATTCATGATTTAAATAATTGAAGTATATATGAATTTCTTAGAACACTTTCAAAAAAACATAAAATAGTGTTAATAAAATCTAAAAAGACATATATGTATCAAAAATATTAAGTGACTTCTTGAGCAGTGTACGTAAATACTCACCTCAGTTGCTTTCTTTTTTTCCAGTGTCGTTATTTTTTCCCATTCCCCTTCTTTCGGGAGACGAGGATCCTGTGTAAAAAGAAATTGAACCAATATTAAGGTATTTATTTACTAATATCATTTAGCGCTACATAAACGTAGCTTCATCAAGATATACAGAATATGTTTCAACTGATAACATTATTATCACAGATAGTACAATTTATGCCGCTATGAGAATTGGTAATTTTTACACCATCAGATAATCACGCATAACCGAGCGCAGTCTGTCGGACATGTGCCTTTATCGCAGAACACTGCAAAGAGGAGTTGAACCAAATGCCTTTACCTTTGGCTACAAATATTCCCCCTAGCAATATTGCTCTTTAACCTTTTAACCTCATATGTCATATGTAGTGCACTTCATTGACTTCGATAGCTCAATTCCATATCTTCCCCTTAGTACTGTAATCTTACTACACCGTACATTTGGCTGTGTATTCTCTTTGGCGCCTTTGGCTTGGGGGAATTTTCTTAATTTAAGTACAACGCTAAATGTCCTGCACTTTATGCATACATAAAAACATAAAGAAATGCACTAAATCAATTGTTAAAAATGAATTACCGCCAAATATCGTACAGGCTAAATATAATACATTAAATTTTACAGTTTTTCAGCTTCCGCAATATAAGGCAGACGGCTTGTGAAAGAAAGCATCATTTATAAGATTATATACCTTGTCCTCTTTCTTTTCTTATTTTACGTTTACCAAAAAAAAAAAACCTCCGTTCTGACCTGGCAAACTCTTGAAATCCTAAACCAAGTTTTCTATTTCAGTAACAAATGTGTAATCCAAGATATATATTTTTACTCAGTGTTATTAAACTTCAAGAGAACAGTATATTACACAAGATCCAACATGAGAAGTTGCCCGGCAGATTGGACGATTATGGTGTTCTACTCTAGTTGTCTTCTCAATTGGAAGCAGAATTTCCCGTAAGATCGAATGCAATGAAATTTAGTACATATTGATTTTTCAATAACTGCACCTGTTACGTGTAGATCAGGAGACCCCACACATACAGCTCTCGCTCAGTTGTAATTGTTTGTTAACGACTTACCCTCTAGAATGAGCTGCGAGGTCAAATGCTTTATGCAGTAAAAATGAGATGAGCCAAGTGCGTTAGAAAAAGAAACTACAACACAAGCTGTCTCTCAACGTTCGCGCTGCATTTGCTTACAGTTCCAACTACACCTGCTCAGCAGTTGCTCAATTTTCGATCTGCATTATTCATCGTTTAATTTTAAAAGAGACTATAGAGTTTTTAAAATTTTTAACATCTTCCTTACTGTAGATGTATTAAATATCCGACATAATGAGTTATCAGGGTCATATCTAGTCTTTTATCTAATTTCATATTTATTTTCTTATTTAGATTTGAAGGGTGTAGTGTTATTGTTCATATATAAATATAAAAGTTCATGGTGGTAAAGAAAACATTTTTTTCTAAGAAACTGTTTAAAATATTGATAGATACTTGTGCAGTGACAGTCTGATATTATACTTAATGAAAAAAAAGTGCTCATTTTATTCAATTATCACATGTAGTATCAAAGCTACATGACTGTACGGAATGACATTTAAGTAATGTATTTATGAATAAAGATTAATACAAGTAGTCGCCCGGGTGGCGCAGCTGGTAGAGCGCCTCCTCCAAAGTCGAATTAAGGAGTCGGTCCTTACGTGGCGGGTTCGAATCCCACTGTGTGACGTGGAAAACGGTCCTTCGGATGAGACTATATTATCCAAAATCCCATGTCGCAGTAGGTGCTAACATGAAAAAAGATCCCTTACCGCTCAATGGCCCTGAGTGCTGAGTATAGGACACAATTTGCAGCAATTTAATCTGCATACGATTAATTAGTCAATGGATACATGTACATTGTATATTTTAATTCATTTCTATTCACATGTAAGATATGGGAGGTATTCCCAGCATAAATATTGGACATTTTCGAGAAAGTAATTATTTATTATTTTCTCTATTCGAATTGTTTGATATTTCTAAATAAAATGTTAATATATAACTTAAGTTGAATTTTTATTGTTCCTTATACCATTTACAAATGTATCATGTTTTCAACGATTCAGTTAAATCCTTTCGGAAGCCGCGTTATCAGTTTTCTCGAAGAATATATTAGTTTACACTATTTCATCTTGCGTAAGGAACATGTCAATATGAGAAAGAAAAATAAATCATGTGAGATATGCAGCCTTTCCTGTTCTGAGTGTTAAGACAAGTGTTCCAACTTCCTATGGAATTTTGCATTTATTTTCCAAAAAAAAAGGATAAAATTATTACAACCCTGCTGTGAAATGTGCCAGAAATGACAATTTTCCTACACATTTTACATGTATTTTGTTTATTCTACTGAGGGTAATGACATGGCATGAGATCATAGCTGATCACAACTTTTTTTTAGAATGCTGAAGAAAAGAAATCAAAAGAATTGTTGATATATATATTTGTTTGTTTTTTGTTTGCTTGTTTGTTTTGTGCATCACTCTGTGAGTATGGGATGTGGTGTGTGAGGTGTGTAAATTTGTAATGTTTTGGAAAAAGATATGTTTGTAGTGGTTGATTGGTCAATGGCTTAGAATTTGTGTTTCTGTGAGGGGGTGGGGGAATGGGTGAGGGTACGTGTGTATGTGTGTGTTCATTACCGTTTCCACTGGATCCTCTCAATAAGCGTTCTTAAATTCCAGTTTTTCATTATATCCCATATAGATGGATCTGGTCACCTAGTAAAAGAGTCACACATAGTTTTGTTAGCAATAATGCAGAAATTCTTTCTTAATCGAAATTCATATTTTAGAAGTTCTACGTTTGATATCTTCAAGTTAAAGAACATAAAGATAAGTTTTCTTTTAATGAATTACCCTTGTGGCCACTTGTGTACAATATCTTCTGTCGGATTCTCGAATATACTCTGCATCTATTTCACCTTTTTGCAAAGTTTCTTGTATTGCCTTAATTTCTTTCAGCATCTGTTAATATCATTTTAAGTTTGTGCGTTTAAATACATAAAATACATTAAATCTGAGAAGCTATTTAATCAAAGTATTTGAAAATTAACTCATTTTATTTATTAAAACAACAATGATACACTTACACTTTTTCAATTAAAATTTTGATGTTTTTATCTGAATTTGAATACTATTATGAACCTTACCGTTTCCTGAATGATGCGTTTTTCCCTCTCTGTTGGGGATCTTGGTGGAGAAAATAGCTCTGACTTGCGAAGCATCTAAAAATTGAAACTGATTCAATCAATATTCACACTTATGTTTAAAATACTGATCATTTGATTCACTCAGTTTTTCTGCTTAGCAGATTTGAAAACAGAATAAGTCCTTTTATTATGTTGAGGTATATTTCCCCCACATTTTCTGTTCACTAATAATACTTTTTTTTTATATTTTCAAGCTCGCTAGAGCCGAATTTTAAAGCTAGTTTTCTGATCACCTGTTGCCGACCGTCCTTCTGTCCGTCTTTCTGTTCATGTGTATGCATCTTAGATTATCAACTTCTACTCATGAATCATTGGGCCAAATTTTAACCAAAGTTTGCGGAAATTTTCCTCTGTTATATGAGATTTTCAATTGTTCAGGTAAAAGGACGTATCTCGCCAACAGAGATTAAACAGTGAATGATTCAGAAAGAAGTATACATGTACATTTTCAATTGTTCAGAAAATATCCACCCGGGTTAGGTGAGGCTAAAGAAGTAGATTAATTTTTACTCTGAAATTGATAACAATAAATTAGAAAAAAAAATATCCTGTCAAAATATACTGGACGCTTTTTTTAACATAATGCATACAATTGTTGCTTTCAAAGCATCTGATGATCGGCATTGAAAAAAAAAGTCCACGACATTGGATTAAATTAATGGTTATACTAGCATATTCAAATCTGTTTTGTTTTACAGACCCGCGGCTCAAGTGTTTTGAATTTTCAGTGAAAAAATTAATCGAGAAAAATGAATCTTTTGTCTTTCTGATGTCGAATTTTAAGCTGAGAGCGACGTAAGATAAACAGGATAAATATATATAAAGGTATAAATGCAAAGTTCATCGCAGCATAATAGACCTTAAGTGTAAAAATTAATTGACAGGACTGCCATTCATAAATTTTCACAAGTTCTGATGACAAATAAAATGCTTATGAATCTGCTGCAAAGTGATCTGTTGGTGACATGATTATTTATCCGAATTTAAAAGTAGCTGCATGTTAATTAACTTCCTAAGTCAGTTTATACATGTAACTGCCAATGGTAGCTACGTGTAAAACCAGAGACATTGTCTTGGAGTATGTTAGCTTACAGTCTTAACATGCATTCTTAGAAAAGGAATCCTTATATATTCTTCAAATGTAACGAAAAAACAATATGAGAGAAGTGGAATCCATTTGAAGGTGCAACTAAAGATTCTGTGAGTACTTCGACTTAACATAAAATACTTTGGTTAATTAGAGTTTACTATATTTTACTAGATCTACGTAAAAGTCATTGTTCTTACTTATAAAAACCTAGTGACACAATACTTTCCACTATAAATAAGTATAAATTATTCTATTTTAATGCTATAAGTATTTTGATAGCCCCTTTACCCATCAACTAACTAATTTCTTTCCATGATCCTTTCAACACGTGAACATCTTATCTTATCCTTATCGTCCCTACTTATGTGTTCGGAACCTTTTATTTTTCGTTGTTCTGTAAATTATAAAACCCGATGAGTTCAGGGTAGCTCTGGCAGTGGATCTGACGAGAGTTAGTGAGACTTCAGCAAGATAAGGTAAATTATTCACGGAAATGTGGTTAGGAAGTGAGTAGCACGTGGAGGCATGGTAAACAGAAAAGTTATGTTGCGTTTCAGTTTTCACCACCCTAGAATCAGCTGATAATGTCTGTAGAAATGTACTTCAATCAATCGATCTCTCTTACATTCATTCAAACTAAAAGCCCGAGATAATAAGTACCGCCCTCAGATTTACCTGGTCTGTATCCCCCTGTCAATCAAATAATTATGGGTACTTGAAATTGATTGACATTTAGCTACTAGTCCCTGTGTATATCTCTTTCACCTTGTTTGACACGCGTTGCTACCATCAAATTAACTTTCGGTCCTCTGATGTTTACCGCTCAATTAACCATCGCAATAAGGAAGCCATTTTGATGCAAAAATTTCAGCTTGATTATAATTAATTAATTATCTGTTTTACAAACATCTCATTGTATTTCAATAAAATGAATCGAGATTGTGTATATTTTTACTAATGAAAATTGCATATGTGAATGAAATCTTGTTTTCACTCGTAAAAATTAAGAATGATTCTTGTTTTGAAACGCGGCGAAAAATGACGATGAAAATAAAGGAGAAAATAAGCTGTTACCACTTTTTTGCATGAAATGGATAACTAAGGATGTAAACAAAATATCTGATAAGTAACAGCTTCACCTGGAAAAGTATTAAAGTATTATTTTTTTTTCTTTCCATTTCCCTTTTTTATAACCGAGCATTTCTTGCTTCGAGGGTAGCATTGTTACCTCCGTTCGAGGTCACAGGTGTTAAAAATAGTTTTGAAAGAAATACATAATTATATTATAGCAATAATTCAATATTTTGTTTATCATTTTTATTATAACCCAAATTTACTTAAAATACACACATACTAGTGTGTAATTTTAACTTTACAAAACCATCGTTATTGCGAATTGTTAATATAGGATACAGAATGTACATTTGCAAAAAATAGGACCACGCGACTTTTTATACAAAGGACAAGTGACTTTGACTATTTGACCGTAATTGAAGCTCTTAATTGTGACTATATTCACGATAATTATGAATAGTTTTTAAGATTTTGAAAGGGACAAACAAGGATGAGTATTTTACTTTTGAAATTATACCTGTATTTCATAATGAATATTTTTTTCTACAACTAACTCAAGTCGTTGCTGCTGTACATATGACGTACAACAAACCGTAGATTTTTACTAAAGTCGGCCTGCGAGATTTCTGCTTGTCTGATATTATATATACATGTAAGTTTGATATTACGAAATTTTACAATCATCATTAAATGCTATTGATATTTTTTTTTATTTACGATGTCGAATTCTACTAATTTTATTATGACCAGTAGGCCATCAAGCTGTACAGGTAATACCCATGGACTTCCTGTGTATACTGTTTGTGTATGGATTAGCGCTTCCCACGGTCTGCACGGTGCCTCGGAGTGCCACGCATTTAAAATTTAGTCCCTCCCCTTACCTGAGAAAACCGTACGGTTAAAAATCTCGGCCTTGAAATAAGTTTTCTCTCTAATACCATTTTCTGCAGTCATAAATTAAAATTTCTTTTTGGACAAACATTTTTACATGGGAACCGGGACTATAGTATTTGGCGTCAGATTAGCAATTGAGGCACCAGCATGATTTTAACTGACGAATCAGCGAAATGAGTATATATTGCATTATGGGTTACTACGAATACTACAGGAATTTTACACTTGATAAAAAGGAAAATCTTATGGTAAATGAAAAGCATTCTTAAAAATATTATTTTCATGCTAATAATGACAAACAATTCATTTGTTAAATAAACGGTGGAAGTCTAGGCTTCTGAAAGTCATACTGCAAAAGTGATTTGCGTCTGTATTAATTCCTTTGTTGTACTATCAGTGAATACAATTACCAGATGGATTCCCTGGCCGAACAGGAGATCACGGACGTAAACAAAGTTTTGTCCATTTAAATGCATAAGAGATGCTGCTCGTTTTCTATACCCTAGAAGCGCTGGCGTTCTGAACTAGACACAAACTTCATTTAATTAAAGATTTTTTTTTTCAGTTAACAACAAATTAAAAACACCTAACATCTTCATTCTTTTTTTTATCTTTGTATTTTGTTTGTAAGAACATATTTGTTATTTTGCAGTCCATTGACATGATCCTAGATTGACCTGAACAAGGTGTTCGAAGTAAAATGTAAACATGTATTTTGTGTAAACGTTGCTATTCATTCAACGATTGTTCAGTTGCTCGTGGTAAGATCTTCTGTGCGCATTTATAACAATAGCCATATAAGGCAAACAAAGGTTCGTCAGTGTAGATGATAATACACATTTTTTACCAGCGAATCGGTCACTAGTGAGCTCTAATTTTCGCCGAAAAGTATAAGATATATTGTTATTTTAACACCACTCTTTTAGCCACCTTTTTTTGCGTTGAAAATCATGAAAGCCTTTCAGATTGGTCTGGAAACATTTATTACAGGACATGTTATCAAAAGAAACAGGACATAGCAATATCATGTTTACTGCCAATTTTATTTATAAAACCGGTTCTACCCTATAACCTTTGAATAGATCAACCTAAACCACGTGTCTTGAATTTAAATCACAATAACATTAGTAGGGGTGCTTATTCAATGAGTAAAAATTCTGGAAAACAGTTTGTCGTGTGTTGCCACCTTTGTGACGTTTAATACATGTATATGTTTGAAATTCTCAAAAGTATTATTAACAATGACATATAATTTTTAGCAGACACAAAATAAATAGATGAGAAATAAACCAATTTGTAAAGGGAGATAATCCAAATTTAAAGTAATTTCCACCTACAGTTAACAGAAAAGTCACGAAAATGGTTCTGAAAACGCTAAATGTAGGTGGCCGGAATTTCCATTGTTAGATTTTGATTGGTCAATCTCTGCTTCTCATACAATTTATCAAGTATTCATATTCACGGGGAACACTTATTGATTCAATAATTTTTTTCAAGAAAACTTAAATTTATTTATTTTAATACAATAAGTATTTTGATAGCCCCGTAACATGTACCCATCAACTAGCTGATTTCTTTCAATAATCCTTTTAACACTGGAACACCTAATCGTGTCCTCCTCACTTGAGGAAAAAGTATGTAAAACAGTTTGTCGTGTGTTTGAAATTTTCAAAAGTATTAATAACAATGACATATGATTTTTAGCAGACACAAAATATAATGATGAGATGTAAACCAATTTTGTTCAGGGAAATTATCCAAATTTACAGTAAATACGACTTAGAGTTATCAGAAAAATCATGAAAATCGGTTTGAAAACGCCACTGAACTTGACCGAACTAGGTAAAGTTCACTAGATCTGTGTAAAAGTCATTGTTCTTAAGAGCGTTGTCCTGTAAAATCGTGGACAAAGCGTTTTTCTCGAAAACTAAGCTGAAAATTTCAGTAAATGTTTATTTATCAAATTTAAATGCATGATAATTTTTTTTCCATAAAATATAGGCAAAAATAAAGATTTCATTATGCTGGAATGTGCGCGGGGTATTGTCCAACGACGCACGGTCAAAAACCAAGGTTTTGTTAAAGAATACACAAGTTTGAATTCAAAATAAAAGTTTTGAATACAAAAGATTTGGATTAAAATTATCCTAAATCAATTCCATAATCAATTTTGTAGTCTTTGTAAAAAAAATTAAGCATTTGGTTAATTTTAGGCAGTTTCTCGAGCATTTGAAATGGGAAAGTGGTAAACACAACTCACGAAAAATGGCGACGTTTTATGACGTTACGGCGCACTGGAGAGTAGTTCAGTTTTATTTTGATGTTGTAAATTGTAATGACCCCTTTAGAGACTTAAAATGACCATAGAAGAAAAAAGTATATAAAAATATCATCATATCTTAAGTATACAAATGAAATAGGAGTTTTCTTAGCGAAGTCTTTTTTGATCGAGTCCCTGGGGAGTAAAAAACATACGGACTAATGTAATAGCAAAAGACGCTGTCACAGTTGACCGCCGATATGAGATTTTCTATTAGTTGAATGATGGTGAGAATATTGTCCGTAACTTACTAATATACAGACCCTGAGACGTGCTACTACCCCACACGCTCGCTGCACGAACGGTACACGAACGCTACACGGTTTGCACGAAACGCTGCACGGTTTACACGAAACGCTACACGGTTTGCACGAAACGCTACACGGTTTACACGAAACGCTTTGCACGAAAGGCTGCACGGTTTACACGAAAGGCTGCACGAAACGCTTTGTACACGTTTCTCACACGCTTTGTACACGATTCTCGCACGTTTTGGCCTCGTTTTGGATTTTCTACTCGGAATATCTCTGTCTTTATTACGATTTTATCATTAATTAAATGGAAATCTTTCAAAAAGCCACATATTTAGCAGCTTTTTAAATTAAATATCAGTACACTAGTATTATATAAACCGATAGGAACATTTAATACTCTGTCAGTTGTAATTAATTAATAAATAATTGTCATTTCGTATTTATTTACTTATCCAAATGTTTAAAAACGAAATGCCGATATCATGAATGACTGCTTAATAAAATACAAATTGTATTTTTATAATTATATTAGCATTTCATTACAATGTAATATTTTTACGAGTATAATTTAATAAATTAAACAAGAATTCGATTTCTTACTGCAGGAATGTGAACTCATTGATTTCAAATAATATTGATTATATTGTGTTTGATTTCCGTAGGCGGATTATTTATCTTTATTTTGATTTAGTAATAAAATTTGCCTATATACTCTACTAACAAGTATTGATACAATTTTAAAGATTTTTTTTTTATCTTACGTAAGCATTATCTATAGGAGGGAAACCGGTAAAGGGGGGGGGGGTTAAATTTGATGACTTAATCTATTTCTATTTTCTTTCTCTTTTTACATGAAGCTTATCAAATAACATCAGTATACCCATCATACTGTAAAATCCTTCATTTCAAAACCCGACCAGAGGTATGTAAATAATATATGTGTATATTAATTAATAGTCGCGGCATTTGACTATACATTGTACATACAATGTAGATCGATCTTTACACCGGCATTCAGGTATATTACAAGAAAATTAAATATCGTGGATGAAATAAAAACTACTTGAATTATGAAACAAATAATATACAATTATTCTCGATTTACTCCTAAGCCTTTCTTACATGATATTCATAAAAAGACTTCCAAATCAGTTCTGTTTATTTTACTGTTTACGACTAGAAATTCGGATTTACACATAAAAGATGAAATCCGCTGACATATAAATTGTACCCATTAAATATTTATAGAACCATTTTATTTAAAAAGAATAATAAAACCAGTCTTAATTTTCAGGTGCCATCAAGCCGTGAACTCAACATGTACATATATCAATACGGGTTTTCAGTTGCCATGCACTCGGAGCCCGTGATCGCTTTGTAAATGACCTTGATCACAGAAGGCGGAAAGAAGATTCCAATACATTTTTAAGGGGTGTATCTGCACACACATTTAACAAAGGATTTAAAAGAGAAATAAATAATTAAGCATTTATTTAACCTGACATTAGATTGAAAGTTACAGCAAAAAAAAAATGAAAGACTGTATTAGTAATTTAATTTAAACCCCCCCCTCTCCCCCGTTTCTAAACATGTGGTCGTGAGTGCATGTAAATTAAAATTATAAAATCCATTTATTTGAAAATAATGAGCAACAGGTATTATGAATTACAAAGTATTAAATGACACATTATTTCAATCTTTCTTTCATGTACTTTAAATGTAAAGACAAGAGCGGAGCCCTGATATATTTTTCCTTTAAATTAAAAAAATAATAATACCGGTATTTCTTTCTTTGAGAAAAAAAAATTTAAGAAACCATATTCGCGTTGATAGTATATTGAATTCAATGCCCTTAAAATTGTTGTACAGGAAAAGAAAACAAGCAAATAAATATTATACATGTACATTACCGTGTAATTTCATTTTGTTGTTCGATTTTTTTAAACTTCTTTTTAAATCCTGACCCATCAAAAGCCATATTTAAAATGAAATGACTTCCGAATGAATCTTACACGATTCTCGCACGAAAATCACACGTTTCTCACACGGTTCTTACACGAAAGTCGCACGTTTCTCACACGTTTCTCGCACGCTCGCTACACGGTTTGCACGAAACGCTTTGGAGCTTACACGAAACGCTGCACGATTTACACGAAACGCTACACGGTTTGCACGAAACGCTGCACGGTTTACACGAAACGCTACACGGTTTGCACGAAACGGAAAGCGCACGAAAGTTACACGCTTTTTTGGGGTAGTAGCACGTCTCAGGGTCTGTATCTTCAGAAGATCGCATGAGGGTGTCAATTGGTTCTTCGACTGTCTGTAGAGACTAAAGAATGTGTATCAATGAAATTCCTTAATTTAAGTCGGACTCATTCAACTTCATTTTCAGCAAAGATGAAAGGTGACGCTGTTTTAGACACTTTGACGTTATACATGCTATAATACATGCGCCGTAAGGTGATACAATATATGGCATAAAATCTTATAATTTGTTTATTTATGCATATATTTATTTGAAATTTCCTGTGTATATTACTAAAATATGTACTAAATAATAGTGAAAATTTCAGAACGCAGTGATATTTATTTTTCACACTAGACAACTTGTTCACGATTTTATGAGACAACCCTCGTACTTTAAAACCCTATTGACACAATATTCGCGACACAAAAATATGCATAGATTCTTTTATGAGTTTAATGTCATTTTCTGGGTATAATGAAAGGAATGTACATGTGTCAAACATATAAATATCGTATCATTCTGTAAGTTTAATGCAATGATTATGATGATAGTGTGGGCGTCGCGAGAAAATCATCTACATTGAAAAGAAATTTTGTAACTTACAGAGATTCCAGAAGGGTCTAGTACGCTGATTTTGCATTGTTTGGAGTCAGGTTCCGTGGGTCGGAAGTTCATCCATAGATTTGGACGAATTCATTTTGATTATGATATGAGTGCTTAATAACATTTAGTTTATAGAAAATAGTAATAATAATGTACCACATCTTACTATTCGTAATTTCGACAAAGTTATGTCTTTTATTCATGCATGCAGTAACATTTTCATACATTTGAATTATTAAAATGATTAAACTATTGTCAGGATCTTAATTGTAAGACAACATAAAAAAAAAATAAACAATTGTTTCCTTTAGTCAAATTATGTTTGGTTATAAAGATGTACATGTTAAAATATGTTTTCTCAGTGAAGTAAAATTCAAGAAATTCCTAAAGAAATTAAATGATATTGAGCTATGATGTCTTACCTTTTCGGCTGTACTTTAAGAGTTACTCTTGTTCAAGAAGCTATTATACAACGTGTTATCACGTTTTGACAGTTTCTTATTACCTAAACCTTTATAAAGCAATCTTTTAAATACATTTACGTCGCGAAAAATACGCCCTGAAAAAATTTAAATTAACCAATCGAATAAATCCCTTTTCCAACCTCAAGTTTTCTAAGAAACTGTTAAATGTATAAAAAAAAAAGTTTGGAATTTTTCCAGAATAAATTGGCCATTTCTATATGGATTATTATGGTTTCTAAATGGGATCATTTTCAAAAAGTGCATCGGTTCGTTAGTAAAAATGCATGGCAGAATGATCTCACGCTAGTCCTTTCTTTAGAACGCAATAATGCTTTGTCACATTGGGGTAGCGTGTATTTACATAATTCAACAAAGCTTCAATAAAATTACACAAACGCAATTTGACAACATACAAGAGTGACTATAAAATGTAAAATTTTCTATTCGAATTTTTTAACTTGTTCAAGACACTATGGAGACTAGTAAATTTACCGATCATATAATCACTACCTTAAACGTAGATTAACTTAATATTGAGCATATTTACTAGATAACTTTTACCAGGAATCTAAGAATTTACAGGACCCCTGCTACACAACTCACTATCTTAGCAAGTAAACTTAAAGATTACTAATCACGACAAAGCTTTACAACAAAAAACATTAAATTAGTTAGGTTGTTCTTTCAGTTAAATGTGTATTACATTCTTTTAGTAAGATACAGATGATCAACCATTGTCATATTTGATATATCATGGTCACGTGTTCGCTATTACATAGTTTGGCTCTTAACTGAGATTTCTTTTATTTTAATCATTTCTGCCTTAAACATATCATTTATACGCTATGATCTATAAAAATATTTCAAGTGAAAGAAAACCATGAGCAATGCCTTTTCAATATATTTTTTTTCTTTGATAGACTTTAATATTAAAAAAAAAATATTGACATATAATTTTTCTAGATAAAAAATATTGTTCCTTCCAATCTTTCATAATCAAGGTAGTTAAACGAAGGCAACATTTTGAATTTCACATAATTATATCATTGGAGTAGTGAAGAATGTTTAATTAAGAAATCACTGTCAAATTAGTATAGCATGCAAGTGTACCAAAAATAGTGGGAAACATGGGATAACCCGTTATGCATAAATTATTCCATGTTCCTCCCTATCGATGATGTCCCTTGCATACTGTACTAACTAGACAGTGATTTTTTTTTTCAATTAATTATTTATTGAGATTATTCATTGAGATTATTGAGATTCACTTATCAGATTAAATCAATTTTTGAGAAGGCTTTATTTATCCTGTGCCATTTTCAAAGACTTTTCTGTTTGTTAAATTTTGATCATTATTTATTATTTGTTATCATTTACAACGGTTAATTCTCACTTTATTAAATTGATAAAACTTACAACTGTGTTTTCATTTAGCATTGACCATAGTTCAGAAATCCCCTAACCTGGGTTGATCATTGATAACTGGAGATAGTTTACTCCTTTAAGCCAAGTTTGCTAGTAATTTTGGTAATTTATACACTAAAGAATTTTACTTCCGGTTACATATTTTTTTTAGAAATATTTATATTTCAGATTCCTCATCATAGAAATGTATTGACAAACACATAGATTTTTAGGTGTTTGTTTTTGTTTTGTACCTTCCATCTTTGACATCAGTATATTCTGATGAAATCCTATTTATTTTACATTTTTCATTGCCGTTTTTAGAATGTTTAAAGCTGATTTTGCATTTGAAGTTTAATGCGATTCTACATCAAGAAATGAATCAAAGATCATCAGTATACCATTCATTTCCATTCAGTGTATATTTTGATAATCGCGGTGGATATTTTGTGGAATATTACGTAATGTTTCGTGGAAGTGTGATCATTCGATTATGTTTTACATTTACAATAAGGAATGTCCTTAAGTCTGTTTTTTTTTTATTTTCTTTATCGAAATAATATAAAGCGTCTTGCGCAACATGATTAAAGGTGATTCTTGAGAGTCTGCTATCACGATATCCTGAGTTCGAAGTATAATTTAACTGTAAATTTAACAGTTTAAACCACAATCGAGGTGCATGTACATGTTTCTTAAGTAGCATGTTGTCTTTCTTTTGTAATTGCTATGTCATATGTTTACATCATTTAAGGTTTTCATTAGAACATTGCACTACTGAACGAAAAAAAGTGCTGAGAATCCCAAATTTTACTGATAATGTTTGATAATTACTGATACGGTCCTGTTCTTGCTGACAATTACTGATACCAGGGTCCGCTTCGGCTTCGCTCTGGTGTTATGTTGTGTCTCGTCGGTACGGTATACATGTATCAGGGACAAGTTTGCTATTGAGCATGCCATAAAATTGTCTAAGGAGTAGTGGTTTGAAGCATATTGACATTTCTCATCATAACGTATTGTTTTTCATACTTTCCTAGTTAGTTTTTATCCTTAGATATTTCCCTTTTGCAAAACATTGTAATGGGGTGCCTGATGTTGCAAAGATCGGATATACATTATCAGAATTAACCTCAACAAAGAATGATTTTCGAGGAATCTGATGATAGATGATTTATTACAAAATTATGATTTGCAACTTCAGGTCACTTGCTGCACGGCGTTGAGATAAAGGTCGGAATGTCCTCTGTTTGGTCTGAGATGAAAGTTTGTGGCACGCTCGATGGGCCCAGTCAGACAGGACAAAATCACACAATAAAATGTGAAATAGTGCCAGCCTTGTACGCAACGTACGTCACAGTGAAAATAGTTCGCGCCAACTACATAACTGTAGAAGAAAGCGCTGATGCAAGTGGCGGCAAAAATGGATTGATTTTGCGAAATATTGAGGTCTATGGATATTACGCTTGAATCAACTCATTATCTATGTCACATTGCTATAGGTCAATTAAAACTACAAATTCGTTGTTCTTTTCGGCTGTTCCTCCTGTGGAGAGATGTAGATGTACCCAATGCCAATAATGAGACAAATCAGGTTCCTGACAATTTTAATTCTTAACTGAATTTGAAAAATTAGGATTAAATATTTCCCATTACGAAACTGAACCGTAAATGACTTGGGAGAGATTTATTGCATCAACATCTATAAATACATTCAAATATTAAAGACAACCATGTTTTACCTACTTATTATAAGTATCTCGAGTTTTTAGGAGCTAGCTCCCTTTCAGTGCAACATTATCATACAGTTGTATAGACTCAATAATTTGCATCACATTCTTTCATTTTTTTGTGATATTGATTTTCAGTGGACATTTGCTACACATAACCAGTCAGAGAAACATTAATTTTTTTTTTTAATGACGCTAAGACAAATTAATCATCTATTCTTTTTAAAACCTTAACCGAAGATTAGCTTTATAATAACATGTGTATATTTGTGTGTTATTTTCAAAATTAAATCATAAAAACACAATATTGTGGGCAGATGATCTGGAGAAAAAACAAACAAACAAAAAAAAATATTGGGACAAGACACCGTATAAAATTATTCCATGTAGCCAATAAAACCAACTGAGAATTCACTGATGGCCCTCTAAGGTATTACTGTCATCATCCTCTCGATTGTTTGACACCCCCCCCCCCCTTGGTTGCCTTCCAGTGGTATACATCGTCTGTCAACCGGTTACACTTTGACAACTATGAACTGATCAGATACATTAAAAAAATCTGCATTCACAATTTTTGCACAGGCTTTTGTTTGTAAATTTAATTAAAAAAAGATTAAAATGTAGAATTTAATCGTAAAATATATGCATTTTAACTTATTGAACATAGAATACTATTATGTGCAATGCTGACTATTAGCTATTTATCAACATAGTTGTTGGCAAGCAGTGGTTATTATGAAGTTTCAGAATATTAAAACTGGACTCAATCAGTTTAACATTTTCTGGCCTCATAACAGGCAAAATAATTTCAGTTACAGAACACAGATTTTCGTAATATTGGTATTTGATGTATATTTTAACTCATGAAAATGAATAGAAACATGTACATCCCTAACAAAAAACTATAATTAACTATAGTTTACTATAGTTCACTATTATAGTAAATCAAAGAGTCAAAGTTTTCGCCGAAGTTTTTCAATGTGCCAAAGTTTTCGCTGAAGTTTTTCAAAATGTCAAAGTTTTCGCCAATGTTTCTCAAAGTGTCAAAGTTTTCAATAAAGTTTTTCAAAATATCAAAGTTCTCGATAAAGGTTTTCAAAGTGTCAATGTTTTCGATAAAGTTTTCTGAAATTCCAGAGTGACCGGTTAACAGACAATGCACAGACAAAGTTTTCACCAAATATTATCAAAGTTTCAAAGTTTTTGATAAAGTTTTTGAAAGTTTAAAGTTTTTGATTAAGATTGTTCAAGTGTCGATTTGAATATTTTTCCCCTTGATTTACATAAACGAAAGTCAAAGAAGATTCGTTACGACTTTTCCTGATTTAGGGTATCCATAGGCTTTTAAAAATATTCGATTGTTTCAAATCAATGCTGATTTAGGTGATGAATAACGTGCTTTTTAATTAGAAATATCCACTAGTGTCTTACTATTACCAAAAAAGAACGATTTGGTTAAATATTCTAAAGTAAAATAGCACATAAAAAGGGCCCATTAAGCATTGCTTAAGTGCACTTATCCTTTGCCCTGATGTTTTGTCAGTTTTCTTAATCGAATTATGGAATAACAAATATTGAAAAAAAATCAGAATAGTAAGATTCTTTTAAATAAAAGCAATTTATTAACATCAATTAAATGATTCCCGTACGATAACGTTTTATTTACAGTGCCTAGGGCCTCAAGATGCATGGAATTAACCCCGGGAAAAATCCCCATACACCCTTGTTTCGACCTGGATAACGATTTTATTTCCTATTAACCCATATTTTAGAGCCGTGGTTCTATAGAAATGATATATGGAAATATACTGAAAGGAAAAAGAAACGCATAATTAACTTTTGAATTAAATTAAAACTTCTATTTTCAATATGTTTTCCAGCCTTGGTATCAGACA